AGCGTTGACCTCTGGGATGGGAGTTAACAGTTGAGCCATGTAATACTTTGTCAGGAACATGAAGTTTTATGGTAATTAAAGGAAAGCAGGCAAGAGACACACAAGGTTTCCCTGGGGCAGGTCGGGTTGTTTTCGGTTCGGGTAGCAGAGGGTGGAAAAGTGCCAGCGGGGAACAGCCCCTGGGACACGCACTGGCCCTTCATCCAGGAGCGAGATGGGGGGTCCTGGACAGGGCGCTACATGCCCCTGCCATGTCTGTTTAAAGTTTGCTCTACAGTTGCAAGTAATTTTATATAAATATGCCCTAGAGATGGAAAAAAACCCACAAAAAACCTGTTTCTTTTTTTTTTTTTTTTTACAAAACTCATGGAAATTCTTCAGTGTAATGGGGGGATTCAAATATCGTAACTAGTGATCATAATAAAAAGAGTGATTATAATAAAAAGAGATGCTGAAAAACCTGCTGTCCTGTGGAGGACAACTGGAGCAAAAATGCCCCAGGCCGTGCTCGCCGCGGGATGGAAGATGCTGCCGGCCAAATGGGAGCCAGATTTTATCCCACCAAACTCTCGCCCCGGCACGGAGGCATGGCATCCGTAATTCCCAAGTTCAGCGGTGCCGTCAGAGGGAGGAGATAAAGCAAATAAGATTTAACAAGCAAAGCAATATTTTTAGCTCCATTATTAATGTGATAGGTGCCTATTTCTCCTCCCTGTTTAAAAAGCGGCCGTATGACTAACCGAGATCCCTGGCCCTGGTTTCAATTACAGAGAGATTGAATCAAAACAGACTGCTGTGCCGTAAATACGAGGGGGGCCCTCTCTGTAAATCGTAAAATTGAATTCTAAAATTTCATGTTAAGAGCCTTGTCTTTGCATAATGGATTGCACTGCCATCTATCACGGTGACACTTACAAGTCACAGCTGAAAAAGTACTTTATTAGATTTTTTTTTTTTCTTAAACAATTTTGATTTATTCTGGTTACGCTGCCTGTATAATAGACTGAGCAGAATCTCACGCCAATCCCTACGCTCAATAAAGCATCTACAGATATATTACAGAAATCCCTCACTGTTTCTAAGTTACAGCCAAATGGTGTCTCAGGGACTGCTCCCAATCATCTGTGTCTTTTAAACCCGAATCAAGCATCGGGGCTCTTAACGACCTTCGTCTCATCGGCTCTCGCCTGGTGTTTAGAGTTGTTGGCCCATTTTCATCGTGGCTCTGATCAATAGCTGTGATGACAAAGATATGATGAGCTGCGTGATTCCCTCCGGTCACCACTGCTTAATGATTTTTCCAAGCTCCAATCTTCAGTTGAAAGGGAAAAGAAATAAAATGAAGAGCTCGGAGGAAACAAACATTGTGTCATTTCTCGCGATACCAGATTAGTCTTGCTCCTCTTCGCTTGGACTGCACACGCAGGATGTCTCTCAGCTGCAGAGCCCTCGTGGCACTGGCTCACGTCTGGATGCCACAGCAAGTTGGTCCCATCACTGTTGTTCCTTCAAATGGAGCATGTTTTGGTACCAGCACCAGCTAGCGAGGGCTTGAGATGTTGGTCCTTACCCACCGCTCACACTGGGAGCTGCAGTCCCTGCTCCAGGTTCCTGGACTTTCTTCTCCAAGCTGTGAGCCTTGGCCATGATCCTGCCCACCACCCTCGGACTGGAGGCAAGCCCAGGAGTTCAAAGTAATTTAAGTTACGCCTTTGCATTTTGAAGGGAAACTCTTTTTGGTGGAAGAGCAAGTCCTCTTTTTAGGAGTCAAGAAAATAGTGACTTCTCAAAGTCCAGCCACAAAAGCACATGAGGCCACAGTGACATTTTCCCTTGGTGATCGTCTGGCATACAACTGGCCCCTTAATATCCCATCTAGAGCAATGGGATATGGGGGTTAGTGCCATGGGATTTCCACCCAGGACCTCCCAGCGTTACAGAAGCGAGGATCTGCTACCCTCCTGCCCACGAGCAAAGCAAGAAGGGTCAGGCAAACCACATCACGGACCCATGGGGAGGCAAATGGGGCAAGGCGAGGGCTGGGAAGGGGCTATGGGGCCATGAGTCGAGTGGAAATGCTTGCCGATAGCGGAGTGCAGTCTCTCGAGGAGGGCACGGCTCAGCGCTCTTTGCGTTCACAGCCCATTCCTACAACTTCCACAGGAACGTACCTCAGATCCTGTAGAAAAAGCAATTTTCACTAACGAAGAGTGAAATTTAAGGCTTTGGGAGTGAAAATGTTTGCTTCTAGCTTTGCCATCTAGGTAAAGTGGAAAGGGCGAAGCTTTCACAGAGGCTGAGGATTCAGGAACGTAGTAGCTGTCTTTGGACATGTTTGTCCCCAGCACTAGACAGCCATCCCTTTCAATTTTTTTTGGCTAAAGGCTTTGATAAAGAGAAGAGCAACACATACATATATATATATACTTTTACATATGTTTTTTTATTCCTTTTTTTGACATAATGTCCGTAGTTCCCGCGCAGGGCGCAGGTCCAGAAGCAGAACCCCATGGACCCAGTGGGCAGCCGGGCACAGTTGCATCCCACTGCTGCTTGAGGATGCTGTGAAATGCAACCCAAGCTGCTTTCGCCGTGGCGCAGAGCGGGATGGCTCCCGGGTCTAGGCATGCTGTACGTGTGCGGTGGGACCGTAAAACTCTTGAAAAATGGGTGAACTCCTCAAAGTCATTAGCTCGTGTAATAACCTGAAGAGTCTGTGTAAGGCTGTCGAGGTGCCATCTCAGGCTGGCAGGGTTCCAGTAGGAATATTTCACACTCGAATTCCTTTCCTTGGCTGCGTGGAAAGGTGGCCCATTTACTCTTGCACTATTCCTCTTAGCATTGTAACACATGGACGGGGATGGATATAAAAGCACCACTTCTCTTCAGAGCCACTGGGACAGGAGCAGTGTAAATGGGATGCACATTGAGCTCTCCCTGCACCGCAGTTCTTCACCGGGGTTTATGCCTTTCGACCCAGCGTCCCAGAGCTCTTTTTTGCTCCGTGCATGCTGCTTTAGACACTGAAAGCCATCACAACGTTGAGGTTTTGGGAGGGATTTGTCCCTGGTGTGACTCGGGGAGGGGGAAGCAGGGAGCTGGGTAGCCCTGGGAAGAGGGTGCTGCCTCATTTGAGTAGGTGGCAACTGCTGGTTTGGCTAATGCTGCCCCTAATCCCCACCAGTGCATCCTCAGGGCAACCGAGGCTTGCCAAGAGTTTGATACCAGCGATGCAGGCGGTAATGCCACGGCCTTTTAACCATCCCTGGCAGGCGGCTGCCTGAAGCAACTGCTCCCTCGCCAAAGCCTAGAGCTGGCCCAGCCAACGCATCTCCTCCCAGCTGGCTCTGCTGGAGCCAGATACCTTTTCTAGCCCAGCTGCCTGCAATTCACTCCTGCCAAAGTAATAAAGGTTGAGCGCTGCAAGGGACGGTTCAAAGCACAGCGCTGGGTTACAGCACTAGCATCGTCACCCTTGCTGCAAGCAGGCGGGGCCACCAGAAGAAAATCAGGACCATACCGGTGGGTGGTCCCAACGTGGGTCTGCAGCTGCCAAAACTCTGGCCATGCAGCTGATGGTATTAAGGACTGGGAGTTGGAGGAGGAACAGTCTGTTGGGGGAATTTCCATTCCATCACCTTCCTCCTGGCAAGCACTCCGGAACAGACAGGCAAGGCAGACGGAGCTGGCAGCCGGCATCTACGGGGAAACCGCGATAGCACTGGGACTGCCAACGTTTTGCTGCTCGAGGAGTGCGTGCTCAACACAGCCCCTGCTTTATCTTGGGGGCTGGAGCCTGCAGAGAAGTATAAGGCTCTGTTGGAGGACATTGGTGGTGGTGGCACGAATGCACAAGAGCTGGCTCTGGGGACACGGGTGCGTTGTAGGGCTCCGAGTAAGGAAACAGCCTTGACATGGATTTGCATGTCCCAGGTTATCTCTCTGCAGAACTGGGAAGCAATAACCAAAGTGGATGGAATAAAAAAAAAAAAATAAAATCAGGACTGGGATGTTCTGAGAGAGACATGGTGAGAGCTCTTAAGAGTCAGGATACGTGCAGGTGGCAGTGTGATAGAGACGGCTATTGGGGACCGGGGTTGGCCACCCCCAGCCGGAGCTCCAGCGAGAGGTGGGGTAACACCTCCGCCTAAAGGAATGGCCCTTGCTACCACAGGACTGTTTCAGGCAGGGAAGAGGATGCTAAGCTCATCTTCTTGTTCCCTTGAATTTCAAGGACTCTTGCAAATACCAGAGCACAGAGGTTATGTGAATACAAATTACATTAGCATGCCGAGTAACTTTGTCAGCGGTTTCTCATTAAAGCACTTGGTCCCCTTTGTAGTGGGCATTTCCATTCAGCCTCCCCCTTCTTCACTGCTAACAGTCAACTGGGCTCTCCCTTTAATTCGAGCTCGTGTAAGAAACAGTGAGAGGGTTGATTCCAGTATTCCCCTTCTTGTCCCACCACGCACAAGCTGTTGCTACTTATTAAACATTTTAAAATCCCTGCTGCCAAAGTCCCCGGGAGACATTTATCTGCCATAGTCATAAACGACTTGCCAGCATGCTACTCAAAACTGCGCTTCCCAGCCAATAAATACAAGCTCCAGAATCAGGAAAAGCAGGGTTTGGCTTGCTCTAATTTTCAGTGGTATGTCACTGGGATACTATAACTACTTTTAAATTCAAATCAGCTTCCTAAAAATTAACTGGTTTTATCAGATACAGCACAGTGGACTGTTAAACACATAGCCTCGTGTACTGAAACACTATACATTTAATGAAGTTATGCCATTAGCAAATGTACAACATGGGTGCATTAAATCCACCTATAGAACAGCTCTACGTATGAGAGAGAGGATTTATTTTAGCTTTTCTCAATAGAGCAGGAGTCCCTTTCTTGGCTTTTGCTAGGTTTTTTAACTAAAACCAGGATTTGCGCACACACAAAAAAACCCAAAAAGTATCTACTCTCGTAATGAAAAAAGACCGATTTTTTTTCTTTTTTTATTCCAGTTCAGGAAGGAAGAGAATCATCTTGCAAGTTAATATAATCAGCTCCTTTGCCTCTATAATCTACTTCTGCTCAGCAGGAGCTCCCAAAAAAACACTTTATGTCCCAAGTGAAACGTGAAAACTACTTGTAAGGTCTCTTTTGAGGCACATGATTTGGACGGTTGCTTTCGGAGTCTCGGAATCAGCATCATCTTCCATCTCCTTTCTTCTCGGGAAGAGCTCTCCGGCACGCCGCGGGCTCCCCGTGTTTCGGGTGGAAGGCTATCTGTCCCTGCCCCAAATCAGAAAGGGTTAGGATGACACAAGTTAGCACAGACACCCATTTCGCACTTCACACCTAAGGACGTACGTTGACGACTCCCCACTTCAATTCCTCACAAAGGGGGGGGGGAAGAGGATAAGAGACAGTAAATTTCACTGTGATCACACTACGGCAAAATATACCTTCTGTTCATTGCAAAAAACGCGTGAAGGCCAAATTAAAGAGGAAAAAAGTATGTTGCATGAGTTACAGTGCAACCGTATTATTCCTTCTCTTTCTATTTTCCTCCCCCCCCACCTTGTTCAGTTTAGAAAAAGGATTGAGTACAACACAGTCAGGTAAGTGGCCACAAAAGAGTAGCTGTCTTTGGCAAGAAGTCACCGCATTGACCCTCTCTGTCACCTTCTGCCCATTTCGCTCTGTCTCATGAAGTGGATGTTGTTGGCGCTGTCTGAGAGTTCGGGGTACTGCTCCACTGAGATCACAAAATAGCCGTCGTAGCCCTGTACCCGGCCCGTGTTTAGCACTTGTTGCTTCTCCCCTTCTGTCCACGAGCGAATACCCTCCTCCCCATCCCGCAGTCTCTGCTGTTCCCGGGACCAAGCTTGGGCGACAGCGCGCTGTCGGGCCAGCTCCAGGACGCGGGCCTTCTCCTCGTCCAAGGTGGTCCCGTAGCGAGTGTTTAGACACAGCGCACCATACTGGAGCTGGATGTCCGTGTAACGTCTAGTCCTTCCACTTAGCACTGTGTTGATCTGGGACACGGTCACGTTCACGCCATTCTCCAGCGTTCTCCGCCCGCCGCTGAGGCCCAAGATGGACAGGTCGCCCTCCGACGGCCCTTGCTTAATGAAATAGTGCGTGTCCACCCCGTCGATGGTGAAGTGCAAGTTCTCCAGGTAATGGGCATTGTTCAGGATGGCTGCGATCCTCCGCCCATCCTCGTTGGCCACACTGATAATGTCGGTGGCCACGCGCCCATCCTTCATGGCGAACTTGACGCCTTTGCCGAAGATAGAGCCTCCAGAGGCAAAGTTCTTGTTCTTCTTGACCTGCCGGCACCCGGCGATGCTGGAGCTGTAGATCTGTTCGAAGCGCTCAAGAGTGACAAAGGCCTTCAGCTGCTTCTGCACTTCACATTGGACCCCCAAAATTGACTAAGCAGGGAGAGAAAGAAGAGAAAGATGTGTCAGAAGGAGAAGCCTGATGACCCAAAGGCATTATTAGCATGCTGGAGACCAGCAGAACATCCTGGAAACCTCTAATGAAGAGCTCCATTGTTTTTTTTCCCCTATCACCTGTTTTCAGATTTTTAATTATTTTTAATGAAAGAGATGTGTTGGCACGTTATTCCCCCTGTTACTCATTGTTTCAATAAACTGAACTGTATTTAATTTCATAGACTGAAGGATGTAGAGGTAGGAAAGGATTTTTTGCCTCAGTGGTGTGAGGGTCTAGTTTGGACATGCAATTATTTTGTACTTCAATGTTCGTCATCTGCACATAAGAAATCATTCATCTTGTGGCCATGATGCTTTAAAAAATGCTTTCCGATTTTCTGTGAAAAAGTGTGGAAGTATTTGTAAAAGTTCCCACTATTTTAACTTCTTTTTGTAACCCCTTGTGCTACCTTCAAAAGCCCTGCATCACAGGTATGACCCTCAAAGTGGCCACAACCCCTCTATAGCCCATTTCAATCTGTCCAAAGCAGGTTGTTCAAAACTCAAGGAAGGCCCTAAATCCAACTCCTGTTTCCTGCAAACCCTGTACAATGTGCCAGGCTCCCTGAGCTAAGGCCAGCCACACCTGGTGCTTGAGTTGTGCCTTATACTGAAACAAAACTGCTGAGAGACAACAGCCTGGATCATTTGCAGTCAGGTACAATACAAAGTCACTTTTGCTGTTAGCATATAATGGAGCAAGCACACAGCGAGTCAGCAGCTCATCATTACTGCAAAATGTCTTTGGAAATGCTCTCATCAATTCATGGCAGCGCAGGCTTCTTACCGACCCCTGTTCACGAACAATTATTTGCTCAAATTTCACAAAAGCAAGAGGATGCTACGACAAAACTCTCCTGGCACTGCCAACAGCTCAGTTCAATAATGTAATGACATCCAGGATTAAAAATAGGCTACAAAGAAAAGTTTGCTGCACTCCAATTATTTCGAGGAAATTTAACATCCACGAAGGATATTGCCTTAAACTGTCCACAAGCTACAGGCTCACATCCTTCCCTGGGTGGGAGAAGACAATTCACACAATGCAGGCATTTCAGCACGGACCGCTCAACTAAGACTTGTAACATGGCAAGGGAAGGGAAATAAACCCTTATTTCCATGGTGGCCATTTCCAGGCAAGGCTCTCAAAGCATTAAAGAAATAAAATAAAAAGTTTAGCATTGCAACTCACTCAAAGGTTTTAAGCAGTTTTGATCTATAAAGGAGAAAACTATAAGGGAACAGAGGTACACAAGTTCAGGTGCACATTTTGCGTTTTAAAGCATTACAATACCTAAGACCCAGGACTGACTTTTATTCAAAGTGCCAAGCAGGCTGGAGTAGCTCCTCCTTTTCCCCTTTTGATTAACAGCGTAGTAGTTGGAGCAGGAACCAGTCACCTATGAAAGAGGAGCTCTTTCTGGTTCTCCCCATACTGCCTGTGGGGGACCTCGCACACAGCCTAGAGAGCGATGTAATTAACAGACCGATAGGGAGCCAAGCTCAGCTCCCCCGCCAACTGCACAAGTGCTCTAATTATGCAAAAAAATGGACGTAATTAATGTAGATGTCACTGATGATGGACATGAAGCAATTAGGTTTCTAGGCTCCATGAAACACTGTTCTAAATAAGTGTATAGTGCACAGCCTTGGTTAGCTATTTCCTCTTCAGAGAGGTTTGGACGGGCAGGTATTCTTCTCAGGTGCATCTCACATGGATTGACTCTAGGTGGTCCTTCCCCACTACCCAAGCACACCACGTTGCTCTTCCAGCTCGCCTCAGTAACTTTTACAAGTGATAGGAAAAGACATTTCTCATTACTGATGTTGAATCACTGTTTGGTGCGAGGTCCTTTACTCAAGCATGTGAATCAGGTCTTTTGCATTACATTTCCATGTCCTGTGGTCATTTATATACCACCATCTATGTATACATCACATTATTTACAAGCATTTGAGTGATAAGGCGTCCCTGGAATTAATTGCACCATCTACTTATTATCACCTTGGGAAAGGGAGCTCTGGGAGGTCAGACAGCACTGGGCATGGGAGAATTATTGCTGTCAGAAATCTCCCCCATTCCCCTTCTATTTTGTCTTCATCACCTTATTCTTGATGAGCTGCAGGAACTATCGCCTTTTCAATTCCGAGCAAATTATGAGGTACGGATCCCCTGTGAATGCCTCCAAATTAGGTTGCCCCAACAAACCAGTGGGTCTGGCCACCACTCCCTTGTCTTTTCTTCCGATGCCAAATGAAAAGTGAGTTTGCAATGAGGTCTGAAAACCTGCTGACGCTACAAGGTAGACACTGTGATATGACAATCTACTGTGCTTTGGACAAGCGGGACATATGACATGTAACCATATGTTTATACTGCTAAAATAAATATTTTATAAATAACATAATTTTATAAAATTTTAAAAGTAAATACTGTTAAAGAGAGTGAGACGTATTATCACTCTTTTCTATATATATACTATATATATTCTTATCATTCACACTGGATAATTTTTATTTTAACTCCTGGTTTGGTTTTGGACTCCTCCAGCTGCTTTCTCCAAGACACGTTTCCTAACTCTCCAGGTCACTTCCACCTAGCCTTAGGGCCAGGGATTGGTCTTGGACTTCTTTTACTTAGCTGTAGAGACATACTCTAAAATGCGGTTAGGAAGCCTTGTGAGGACAACAGTTGTACAACAGAGTTTAAGGGTGGATGGTGTCCTTGGGTTTGCCATTAATTCAGGAAGGACTGTAGCCTGGTTGGCACATGGTGTGATACAACAGGTATCACAGTCAACAGCTGGGCCATGATCTACCTTCCTCAAGCTCCATAGCCCGGTACCTGGGACCTTCTGGCCTGAGGTAATTTTCAATTTTCTATTTTATGGTCAAATTCTCCATAGCTTTGAATTTCAGATCAGTAATTGCCCATTGTAAAAGGAAACCCTGATTTTTAAAGTCTTTTTTACTGCCTTCATGATATTATATGAAGTTATACAATTTCCACAGGTCCACTGTTCATCTGGATGCCATTTAGAAAGAAAATAAGCAGCACCCATCCTGCTACTGGCAGGACTTGGAGATTTAAGGGATTACACATGATCTAACAGCAATGGCACTGTCACTTCCTGCCTAAGGACACCCACATAGGATACCAGGCCAACTGGCTTGTTGGTGTCCTCTTGGTCTCCATCCAGAACATCTCCTTTATACTGGGAAACCATTTCTCATGTTGCATGTGCAAGTGTAGGACTGTTATTGGCACTATTCCTGGTGGCTAAACGAGAGATTAAATGACTGACCAAACACACATGACTGGGAGTGTCTTGACTTCCAGTCAGGTGCCCGCTTAGAGACACTGCAAGCGGGATGTTTGTGAAGTTGGGGGCTGGAACCACCTTTGTTGACAAAGAAAGAAACCTGTCAATCTGTGGCTGTTCCAGCCTTCTATGCACCCACTTCTCATACATACTGTAGTCAGTGTCGACTTCAAGATTGTTTCAGTTGCCCATACCTCATTACATGGATGTCTAGTGTGATTTGAGATTCCCAAGGGTGCCTTCAGCATCCACACAGGGCTGTGAGAAACAGAAGCAGCTCTGAGAGATCTTTGCCCTTCTGGAGTAGCACCTGGAGGCCACTTTGCCAATGGAGGTCCCTCTATCGGCAAACGAATTGAGCCCCTGCTTTGCACAGTCAATGGAGCCTAGAGTGTGATTCAGCTTGGTCTAAAATTAATGCGTAGCAGGTGGTCAGCTCTTTAAGTGAGCTCCACTGCCTGTATGGACCAGATGTTGACAGGCTACAGTGGGTGCACACATCTAGCACACACGGAGACACCTATATCTACATGTCTTTTAGTCTTGAATTCAATCCCAGCCCCTAGCAACTGGTTATCCGAACTGTCCTTTGGGCTCCACTGATGAATCACCCAAATGGGTGGTGTTGAACATAATTTTTAGCACTACAGGGAGCCCTGCTGGGCCACCAGTTGTTGCTCCAGAAGGGTGCAGGTAACCCATGCTGTAGGCATGAGGAAGTCCAGGAAACTCTAGGGTATCTCAAATGGCACCGGCAACCGAGTTCATTATAGATCTCTGCTGGCTGTAACGGAAGCTTGCATACCAACTTCACAGGCACAAACCTAAATTTAGGTGTCTTAATCAAGAACAAAATCACATCCAAAGGGTTTTCCACTGGGGACTGGTTACAGGCCTTCTGGGCTCTCCCCATCTTTTGTCGCATAGGGAAGTAGGAGATCAGACACGTGCAATGCTGTAAAGCTGAACATCATCATCACTTAACTATTGTAATAACTAAACACATCTCTCTCATCTTGAAAATGAGCCCAGGGTGACTTTGAAATGACTTTTTGAGTGCATTTCTTTGATAAAAAAATGTATTTGGGAACAGCACTTTTTTATAAGAAAAGCAAACACATCCAACAGAAGGAAAAGCTCCAACAAACTCAGGCAAACCAGAGTACACTAGCTTGTATGCCCTGATCTGAATATAAAGGGGCTGGAGGCAAATGGATTATATGTAGTTCAAAGAGGCAGTGTATCCCTGACTTTGAAATTACCATTTCTGTTTCATCTTAGAACGCATTTTAATGAACTGGCAAGGAAGAGAAACAGAAAATTTCCATCCAAGGCTGCAGTGGCATGTGGTATTCTCTAAAAAATGCTGCTGCTGTTAGCAACTGTAAACCAAGGTATCTATAAAACCAGTTTTACAGCAGAAAGAAGGGAATTTGTAGTCATTTTATTTCAATATTTGTTGCTAGATGTGAGTGACAAATATGAGGGGTTTGTTTTTCCTCACAGTCTTTTTTAATCAGATATCCTTAGGTGACATTTCACTTTATCTAGTAACAACCCATTGGAGAGAAGAGAACGACCTTCATCATTTGTTTGCTGCTGCACAGAGCTCAAGAGAATAGCACATTACAGAGATCTCTGAATAGCCTCTTGCATTTTGCCAGCACCTCTTGAGGATTTGAAATACCATAGCCAGATACTATCATCTGTTGTTTTTAAATACCGCCTTCCAGTGTGAGACTGAAAGCTTTAATTTCCCATCAAGGATCCAAGATGTGAAATATGTGTACATGTTTCCAAGTTTCTTTATATCCTTGTGCCATTATACACAGATAGGTGTTTCTTTTACCACCATATGGCTTACAACACAGAAAGCCACTTCTTCCAAAAGGCTTGGAAGTTATGACTTCTCTGAGATATTCTTCATTGTTAACTCCTTCCTATTTGATCCCTAGCTCTCTGTTAACAATCCATGCTTCAGAAACCATTCTCTTCCCCCCATTCCACCTGGCCATCACCTGCAGATGAGTCCCTATTTGGGTGTCCCCCACCAGCTCCCAGCTGGTGGAGGTGCAGGAGCGGCCCATCAACCACAACAGCCTATCAGGTCACACCAGCATGGCTGCATTGCACGCTGGTTGGCTGCGAGGCAACGTGCTGCTTCGCAATCTGCCAACCACAAATGCAAGTGGGACAACGGAGGTGAGTGATTGGGCAGCAAGGCCAGTGCTGTAGATGCTGATTGGTTAGCAATGAGCGAAACACAAGTGCTAACTCTTGGGATTAGAGGACAGGTCTCTCCACCCTGCCAGTGTACACAGCTGCAGGGGGATAACGAGGTTGAGCGCATCAAGCAGATTTCCATCTGTGGGGAAATAAGAGGATTTGTCTCCTCTTGCTCATCTATTTTCATAACGCTTCAAGAGCTTAATGTCTTTGAGACTTCAGCTCCCTTCCCTGCATCAGATCCAGTGAAAACTGGCCACTGCTTTTGCAAAACATAACTAGGGGCTGATGGACAGACGTGTAGACAGCATGATGGCCCAAGCCCAGGACAAAGCACCCGCAATGTGAAGATGCCCTCCCTAAATGATGAACACTGGCAGAGCCAGTCCTTCAGACAGATTGTCCTTGGGAGAAGCTCTGCCAGAAAGCACAGCCCTACAGCTCACTCCCTGGCTGAGCATCCCTTGCCTCCAAAATGCTGCTTCATAAGGGACGCCAAAAGCTGCTCCGCCAGCACAGCCTGTAATGGGCACTGCAGAAAACAGGCCCTTTCCTGGAGGCACAGCGCTCATGGGATGCAGAGACGGGCAGTTAATAATATGATGTAGTTAACAATATAAGCGCTGACTCCAAAACACCCCTCCCTGCAAACAGAGTTGTTCTGGCTCCAGCAATTACCTGACAGTTCAACAAGACAAAAAGGAAGGGGGGAGAAAGAAGAGAAATTGGATTCAGGTGCAGCAGCTCCACAATATGCCAGAGGTCACCCAGAGTCCCCTGGTGGCCAATAACACTGAACTTGTTCAACAAACAATTTAGTGACAGCCTCATGGTCGCAGGGAGGAGGGGGGGAAAGTGCTGCACAACAGAGTATTGGATTTTAAATGTCACTCCAGAGCTGCAGGGGGTTAGTGCAAGGTTTATGACATGCTGGCTGTTTCTGAGCTGGTGGATGCTCAGAGTCAGAATTATTTCTCCCATCTTCCAGCCCTGCAAGGCAAGTACCAACAATGTTTTGGAAGGAGACGCTAGGACCCTCTGGTTATGCACTCTGAAGAGACACGCAGCAGCCATTTATGTGGAGTTAGTTGCTTTGCTGTTGTGCTCCTGTTATTCATTACTCTCTGATAAAAGAACTGACTCAACCTGCTGGGCCACAGCTTTGATCAGCAAAGCCAGTGGAGTAACTCAATTTTGCTTTGGTCTGTCACAAGGAGGTATGGGACCCAGAGAAACCAGGGACTGGAAGATGCGGAGATGAGAAAGCTGTGGTACATCGTTCAGAGAATATCCCTGGATTTCAAGCAGGATGGGCATTGTCCAGTGCCTTGTCCAGGCTACTTTGAAATGCCAAAAGATCTGGAGCTTCCTCCATGTGCTCTGGAAGACCATTTCACAGTTTGATCAGTGTTACCTGAAAATATTTCCTGTGCTTCCATTTAACTTTGTTTAATTTCATCATTTGCTATGTGAAATTTTCAAAAGTTTATATTTTCTTCCACATACTTCATCAAGAAATACAGAGACAACCAGTAGGAAGGAGGGCTGGATTGTGTCTGGGAGCGTGTATGTGTGGCTGGAAGGGTTGGGAGCAGAGACAACTACATGTAAAACATCAGTGTTGAATGCACGGATAGGCTTAGGAGAAAATGGATCATATGTTCATATGTGAATGAATTTATTTTATGCAAATATATGCCTGCAATATGCTGGATGTGACAGAAAGGAAGGGAATCCTGCTCTATAGCATGTGAGAGCTACTCGCTATCACAGCATGATCCTGCAACTGTAGACTAAAATAAAAATGCTCATGTTTTGTTGCTGTCATAACACAGGGGAAGAATACGAAACAACTTGCAATGGTTAAATTCCACTTTCAACACTTGAGTGTGAAGAGACTCATCTGGAAGCATGGTGGCTGCATAAAGCCCTCTTTTACCAAGCAGGTCCCTGCACAGTCCTCACTGCGGCTTCTTGCTTTAAAAACCTGAAGGGAACGTGGAGATTTTCTTTTCTTCTTATTGCTCATTCAGGCAGATTCACCTAAAATAGGTGGATGGAAGGGAGGACTCCTTGGTTTTAATTCCAGCTCAGCTGCCTGTATGAGCAAGTGTCAGTCTTCATCTCAAGCTGTCACTCAAGTTACTTGGCTATTCAATAAGACTAGTAATAATAATGAACTAATGATAAAATAATGATATAATAATAATAATACCACCACCAATAATAATAATAACACCACCAATAATAATAATTTCTGTTGTGGTTCTGTGAGAGTTCTTATCTACTGCACATAACAATTTAGAGACAATCTTTTGTGCAGTCTCTGAACGAGCCTTCCCTGTTTGCCTTCTCCTGTACAGCTTTGCCTGGGGAGACTGTGTCACATCAGAGAGGAGGAAAAATCCTGAGGCTATTTCTCATTACAGAAATCACCTCTATTAGCATCTTATTGTTTAATCCAAGGAAGAGATAAACAAAAAAGGAGTCTTTGAGCTCCAAAACACAAGTGAGTGACGGCGGTGTAATGGTTTTCAAGCATCAACTCAGCCACGGTAGCAAAAAGCATAGTTCTTTTGGTCCCCTTCTATTATAAAGTGATATGTCAATATAAATCGCTCGTTGAAGTTGAAGATGGTACATTTTAGCTTGTCTTCACCATAGCTATGAGGCTGAGTACCAAGGATGGGCTGACACATGACTATTTTATTAATCCACAGTATCTTGTTCATACCTCTGACTGATACCTTTTGTGGCTGGGGAAATGTGACACTGTATTTTACCTCCTGGTTTAATATGTGTCCAGGACCTCAAGAATCTGCTGTAGGACAGTGAGATTTCAGTGAACTCATAGATAAAGAGGCTAGGAGGGCAGGTGGGATCAATTCCACCTCCTGCTGTTATCATTTTATTAGCAGAAATGTTAAGAGCCTATCCTGATCTTGCCAAACACGTTGGTGCCTCACTGCTCTCACGATGTTCGAATACACAGCAACAGCAAGCAGGAATTCAGACTAAAGAGGATTCGGACTAGACAGATGAAAGCAACCCCAGAACAAAATCAGGCTAGGAGATGAAAGGGTATCCTGAGAGGTAAATGACTTTTTCAAGGTCATCCAACTGATAAGCAGTAGGGCTGGGAGTAACCCAGGGCTTTCAGATCCTGACCCAGTGTGCTAACCTTTAACAGCGCTGCCTCCATTTTTCAGATGAATAATTCCCAACAGGAAGAGAGGGGGAAATGATTGGGCTGTAAAAGCTTTTTTCTTGCCGATTTCATCATTGAATTTTGTGCCAGCATCTACCAAAATGGCTTGTGATGCAGGCCTGTTTTTAAAATCAGGACACGGTGACTCGGGATTAAACCCAGTCAGGTAAAATGAAAGTTAACTATCAGCTAAAACGTCTTTCTGGTAAGACCCACTGCAACCCAGAACAGTTTCCTAGGGAAGTACTGGGACTTGTTTAAGACATTTTAAACCAGACTGAGTAACTTTCTAGAAAAAAAAATCTGTAGAAAATGATTCTGTATCAAGATTGGCTTTTTTTTTTTTGCTTCCAAGAATCCTTGATGCAAAGGCCTTGAACTTAGCCTGCAATATGTTGTAACATGGCCTCTTGAAGGAGAAAGAAACACTAACATGACATTTCATGGAGCAACCACCAGAAAACACCACAGGAAAAAGCACCATGGAAGTAAGGAACTTAAGATGTGATTATTCAGTCAAATTTCATTACTGTAATGGGGACTGACTCACTCTTAATCTCCCAGCGTATCTGGGAGAACAGGCTGATAGAGGGTTTTTTAATAAATATTGCAACTGGATAGTATGAGGTACAGTATGGAGTCGCATGGATCACCTTGGTATTGTCCCATTCTTGGGTTTTCATCTGTGTGTGGATTAGCTCATAGGACGGCTCCATTGCATCCATGTCTGGCTTGGGGTAGCCGGGAATGACGTTGTGTAGCTGGAACCCAAAAGTGAGCAGCCAACTGTTGACATCTGGAATGGAAGAGAAGCATCAATCAGATTATCTGATCTCTCAAGCAGGGTTACTCAGGAGAACAGCACAGAGGAGGACCCTATGGTGCCTGGCACTGTAGCAGTCTGGCCAAAACAATGAGCGTCTACTTCATGTGAAGAGCATAAATCTTAATGGTCCTTGAAAGAACTGTGTGCCAAAGGTGGGCTTTCCATCTCCAACCACAGTCTAATTCTGCACTTTCCCAGCTCTGAAACAGAAGCTTTGGCAGTGACCCAATGGCTCAAATCAAAGCCAACTCGATGTCTGCCCTTTGTCAGCAGGCACCAGGTGCTGTTCTAAGGTGACCCAGGAGAAGCACAGGAACAACAATAGACTAACAGAGGCTGAGGTGCTCCAGCCGAATAGGAGGTGTTGTCCAGTCCTACAGTCAGCTCTGAACATCTCAGCCACAGTACTTCTCTTCCTGAGGACTCTCAAAGGGCCTGTAGGCTGAAGAGTAAATTTAGAGCTATATGAGCCAGGCTATCAGGATATCCAGGACGAACAGCACGGTCATTTGGCAGGTGCTCATGGAAGAGGCTCTGGATACATCCTCTGTTTCTTCCATGGCATTTCCACTTCAGTCCTGAGTATCTTGGCATTTTTCATAAGAAGGTGTAGTTTGAGTATTAAACCAGTGTAAAGTCACATGTCATCTTTTATAGTGACATTTAAAATCAGCCTCCACACTACCTGCAAGGTACATTATAGTGCAAATAAGCCTATGGATACAAGACTACTTTGCTTGGGTTCCTTTCACAAACCACTCAGAAGCCCATGGATGGTGAGAAAACTGCGGGCTACAAGTGATAAACTATAGTCCTATGCAAAAAGGGGACCGCTGGCACTAAAGGGGACATGATGGAAGACCCAGCCATTTGGGACGTCATTCCTGCATTCACTTGACAGTACAGACTGCAAAGTCTTCCCTGACTTTGACTGCACAGCAATTAGGAATAGCAGCTGAATGTTAATCCCCTGGAGGAAATAATGATGAGGCTGGCTAACTCCTAGATCTGCTTGGGATCAGCATCGCTTCCCCCCTTCACTTCCGAGCATTTGATGATCTCACCTTGTTTGCCTTCACTGAACTCTAGAGAAGGACACACCTGCTGCAATCCTCAAGCAATATGGTGTGCATTTGGCATACAAATAGTAATTGCAAGAAAAAGAAAGGTATGAAAGTAAAGTTTAACTAATATCAGCTCCCAGGGATCTTAAGTGTTTTGCATGTAACTGGGATTGTGTTGGTGATTGCTCTGCTTCAAGGTGGATGTCCAAGGGGCTTGATTTTCATTTTGCTAAACTCAATAAAGGTTGTTGAAACAATCTGAAAAAGGGATCAATTTAAATAATCAAATATGCATCCTTGAATATTTTTTCTCTATTCCCCATGAGCCTAAATGAGTGTTTTGAAGAGCTGGTCGGCAAAGAAATTATGGATGCAAGCAGCAAATAAGGCACTTCCAGATGACTGGAGAACCAGGAGCCAAACAAACACACTATCTGTTGCTTGTTTTCTTACAGGCCAAAATGTTGAGATCGGGCAGATGTCCAAAAAGCCCTTGCAACAATCCATGTGGAAGGGGGAGGATTTCTGTAATAAAAACACTTCTGTTCACTCAATGTACAGATTGGTTTTGGAGTGTCTTTGAAACAGAGAAGTTGGGGGGAGGGAAAGAAATTAAAAGGCTCATTTGATTATTTTTTTGCTTAGCGCTAAGCCAGCCTGCTTCCAAATACTTCTCATGTGAAATGAAGACCTTTGATGTACATATTGTGGACCAGGTGGTCAGGAGAACAAAGTAAAACAGTGAAGGTCGGCATTGGTGCAGGAACCATTTTCCAAGCACTTCACAAATGTTAAAAAGGATACAGAGCAGGGATGCTGAACAGCCGAAAAATATGTAACGTGTCTGGGAGGATTCAAGACAGGCTTTTTTTGCTACTTCTTGGAAAACTGACTTTCAAAACATTTGCAAACAGGAGTTTGTTCTTTTGGGGAAGAGGTATTGGAATACCCAGAACAAAAAAAAAAAAACACCCAAAAACATGGGAGGAAGGTGTGGAGCTGTGAAAACAGAGGGGAAAATATTAATTTGCCAAGAGGCAGTGACAACTTTTTTGACAGAAAAGTACATTTCACATCACAGAGGTTTTTTTCAGCTACAGTAACCCTGCCAACACATTTCACAGTAAATTCATTTGAGGGCAAAGAAAAAGAGTGCTTAATGCAGACACATGTAATGGAAATGTCAGTTCAATCCATCAGGATTGCTGAAGCTGGCAGCAAAGCTCTGCGCCATGAAGTGTACAATTGCTAAAATATTCATGTATAACAATGGGCCTCTCAAAACGTAAATACCTGTTTCTCCTGCTCTCCCCTCCGCATGCCTCCAATTTGTACCCACAAGCTCAGAAACCTCATCGTTGGAGACCAAAGCGTGTGTCGTTCGCCCGTGTCCTGGGTGCCGAGCTCCCTGAAGGACAGTGGGTCCCAGGGTGAGGATGGAGGGACAGAAAGTGGTTCTCTGTGCCTGAATCTGGGCAGATTTGTTGTGATGACAAGGACACTCTCATTGCAGATCCTGCCCACCAGGTGCCGGAAAGCTTCAGCAGAAAGAAATGCCAGAGCAGCAGCCTAGCATCATGGCACTCATCCCATTGCATGACCTGTTTCTTCCATGCACTGGGAGAGAAGAAACTTAAAAAAAGTAGTTGGGCTCTGTATTCTTGAAAGACTAAAAATAGAACTTTTAAGACCATGGAAAAAGTTATTCGGTGCATATAAAATATTAAGGTATCAGATTTGGACATCTTGATGTTATATCAGAGCTGGGTGGTGAAGCTGTTTGCTTGTTCCAAGACAGGATTGGAAATTTTGTCCTGTCTTAACTTGAGCAGGAAAATAAAAATCTGTTAATATGTCACAAAGCAACTGCTCAAAAACTAGATCAGTTCAAGAAAACAATTTCAAATGAAGATCTTTCATTTTGGTTTTGATTCCTTAATTTTTCTTTTCCAGTTTTCAATCATTAGTTTACACTTAACTTGAAAAGGTTGTAAACCAAAAAGGAATTTTTCTTTTAGGCTATTTTGGAATTTGTCATTTAGACAATTTTGAGAGCTGTTTACAACATTTCTGCTGAGAAATCTCTCAAGCTCGACCCTCTCTCCATAAACAAATTCAGTTTTGACAAATGAGCATTTTCTGATAGGAAAAGTTATCTCAAAGTGTTCCCTGCCAGCCCTAATTATCAGAGTGAGGCCAACACACAGGATCTCAGTCTGCATCTTTTGGCATATTTTACTTTCCTCATGGCATCATCTTCTTAGCTCTGGAGAAAAAGAGCTTTTCATAAAAAAAAAAATACAATCTAATCCTTATGATTATTGCAGAAGAACCTGAAAGCACGAATCCTAATGGCCAGAAAAACGAGTGGAATAGAACAACCCAGGATTTTTATTTTGTAATATTTTTTGCTATTAAACCAATCTCATAATTTAGGGGAATGCAAATATTGTTGCATATGGGAAAGTTGTGAGAGATGCAGCAGGAGCATTTAAAAACTAATTATATCTCCTTAAGAAGTATGTACATTTGATTTGTGATTGTGTCACCTGGTTTTCCAACGGGAAGCATACAGAAAAGAGTCCCACCAAAACAGTCTTCTCAAACATTACCAGCAGTGTTGCACAAAGTATGAATATAGGAAGGACATTTAACCTACAGAATTATTTTATGTATAAAAAACATACATAGAGCTCATGTTATTGCCATTTTACAAAGTCCCAGAGGAAGCAGTTCAGAAGTTATGTCAAGCTGTGGGGTAGGTATGCCCTAAAATCTGGCCTTTACGTCTAATGTATCTGCTTTTATTGACTTTTAGTAGAAACTGGTAATTCTGTGGGGCAGATTAACTTTGAACTACATGGTTACTGTAGTGTGCTCTGAAATGGCTGACTGTAATAACAGGTTTAACTCACTGTTGCCATTCTGGTAAAACAAATCTGCATGTCATTTGTTTAGTTGCAAATAAATCTCTAGGCAAAACTGTGTAAACAGAGCTGCCCCTCTACAAAGAGAAAGGTTATCAGGACATTAAGCTGTAGCTAAACTTGGGATATTTGAGGGAACGAAACACCGGAAGCAAAATAAAGAGAACAAACACCAAGGAAGAGAAAAGGAAACAGGTTTGGGAATTACAGTCTCCATCTATGCTAATGATTAAATATGCCCTGGACATAGGCGTCAACTGGCAAGGAAAAGCTTGTGTCCATTATATTAAACGCTGGAAAACCTCATGGTGACCAGGATACTGAGAGAGACAAAACTTATTCACTGATAGCAAGCTTGTGAATATGTTAATTAATTTAAATGTCTTACCTGTCATGTAACATTTGATATCCTGAGAGTTGCTAATGGGATTGTTGTTTTTGAACATATACAGGTTGAAAGGCATTATGTTATTGCTACTCAGATGCTTCCACATATCATGGTCTGGACTTGTCCACCGACCCGCTAGCACGTCATAGTCTCTCCGTCCCATGTGGATAAGCTTTGTGAGGGGGTCATACAGTCCTCCGTGGTAGCCGATGATGATCTGGAAGTTGGGATTGGTGTCCATATAGATCTCCCCATATGCTGTGTACAGTATCTGCTTAATCATTAAGCCAGTCCCACTGAAGACAGCCAAAGGAGTGCCAATGTTATCACAAGCTATGTAGAATTCATCGCCGCTGCTGAGCTCCATTGCAAAGAGGTGGCCTTGGAGGTCATAGTAGAGGGAGGTGATCTCAGAGCTCGAGTGGTTGTATAAATGGGTGACCTTGGTTGGGTTGGTCAGGTCTGCGTAGAAGAACTGCAAGTGATGGCCATGGCTGGTTTTGCTAGAGACTCTCCTTCCTAGGCCATCATAGCGATACTTCACGCTCCACCCACTAGCTTTATTGTAGGCTTTGATGAGCAGGCCAGCTGAATTGTACTCAAAAATATCATTGCCTCTTTGCTTCAGGAAGCCATCTTCATCCATTTTGTACTGCACATCCCCCAGTCTAGTAATCCTATCCCTGAGGTCGTACCTAAGCGGTGTAAGGCGGGCACTATTTCCCGGACTCAACAAATGGAGGTTTCCGTTTAGGTCATAGCTGTAACGCCAGAGTGGTTTGTCATTGATTGACACTGTCTGCAACTGGCCATCAGCATCATACTCATATGAGTACCTAGTTGTGTTTGCATAAGGGCCAACCTTCAGCTCTTTCTTAACCACTCTCCCCATGTTGTCATACTGCACAGTCATCCAGTACATCAGTGACCGGAATATCTCGTACTGGACCTCCTTCATCCTGCCATAGGCATCAAAATGTTTAGTGTGAGTCATGACAGCAGTGGTGATAATCTGGTTGATATCGTAGTAAATGACTCCAAATTTACCAAATTGCTCAGTTTTGCCTGACACATCATCATATCTGTAGAGATCAATGGGTAAAGGTGTCTCGTTGATGACTGCTTGCATGCTGGTCACCCGAAAGCTGTTGTCATAATTATAGTCAAAGCGTGCATTCACCATGCCTTCCTCAGTGAAGCGGAAAATCTGCCGATCAATGAGGGGTCCTATCTGTCTGTATCTGATTGTACATGTGAACCCTTCATTCTGCAAGTTTATGGTCTTCAGCATGCCAGCAATTTCGTCATAAGTGAAACTGATCTTTGTGGTGTCGTAGAGCATCTCGGCTAACTTGGACAACTTTCCATACTTGTAAATGACACGTCTCCCTGTGCCCAAGTACAAAGTGTGGAGAAGCTGCTCATCCTCTGTGAAATCCTGAATTACCGAGGCATTGCCTTCTGGTGGCCGGTAGATGTTCCTGTAGTAACCAATGGAACGAATGGTTTCTAAAGTCTGCCGGGCAACATTGGGCATGGTCACCGACGACAACCGGTCGTTCTTATCAAACTCAAAGATGTACTGTCTCTGGCTGTGAAGGAGCAGCACCATGGACTAGATGGGAAGAAGAAAAGTATAGATTATATTCCTGGTTTTCAGGCAGAATTATACTCAACTCTCACAAAACCTGCAAGATTCTCCAATCTGAAGAGCAGGGCGAGTGAGATAAATCTCTGCACCCATAGGATTAACTGGTGAGAGGTATGCAGCTGCACAGCACATCAAGTGTCCCCAAGTAGGGGTGGGTCAGAGGAAGAAGCAGTTAATGCAGTGAGGAAGGTCTAAGTTCAGAATGCTCAGCTATTCGAATCAATATCCTGGAGCTAGCTGTCTCTACCCAAATTCCCTGTGCCAATAGCTTTTACAGATTAAATAAATAAAATTGGTAGAGCGACTTAAACAATGCTTGAAAAAGTATCCCCCGACACCTTCCAATGCCCAATTAATTCATTGTGTCTCCGTATCTTCCATTACTCTCTTACTGCAAACTTCTGCCTGCATGCTTATTTGTTCTGGGATTTTTTTTTTTTTTTGCATGTAACAATCAACACAGATTGTATAACATAAGGGGCAAGTCAATACTTTTTGCCTTTTAAAAGCTCTTTTACTGTAGTTTCCTTAAACTGTTGTAGGGATAGGCTCTGTGCAAAACTCAGGAATAAAAAATTCCATCACCAGCTATGCAGCATACGGATCTATAGGACACTGGGCAGTGTAATGATGAATGGTAATACCCAGAAGAAACTAAGTCCCATGCCAATCTGCAGAGTGCAGACTACAGAAAACACTGCAAAGTGTGCTACAGCAGTCTGGCTGGATTCATGCCTCGCTCTTTTTAATTACACGTATTTCCTATGAAGCAGG